TTTTGAATTTTTCAAGATGTCGGGTTTTACTCGCACTTGCGTACATTGCGCAATAATTGGCCAATAAGAAGCTCCTTTGGCCGGGATGACGTCAAACTCACGCGTGTAGGTGCAATTTGACCTTGCGAATCCCATTTCTGGCCTTTGCAGGGTCATACGCAACCTCGTTCCCAGGCTCTTTGCTCTTGTGAAGCAAAGACCCTGGTCGGGGCTGGTCACGTGACCCCGCAGATTCTGCGTGGTAAATTGAATTGATCTCAGGGAGGGGTGGTAGAGGAGTCTGTTTGTTACGTTTGGAAAATTGCAATTTTATGTGTTATAGTTTCGGGTGATAAAAATGTAATTTGCAACAAGAAATCGTGAAAGGAACAGTTTTAAATTCGTATTCATCATGACACAACTTCCTGCTACACTGAATGTCATCAATAATAAGTGTTGCGGTACATTTCAAGCAAGAAGCTGGATCATATTTCACTTCCAAGGACTCCACGCGCCTGGCTTGCGAAGTTGAGCACGCATCGCCGTAGAAACATATATGTCTTCCCAATTCTATACCGACTGATCGATCAAACGATACTAAATGAACGATATGGTTGTTTATTGTTGAAGTGTATCCTATCCGATATTCAACAAAGCCAAAGGATTTATTTTATAATGGAAGATTTCCCAAACATCGCCAACTGTGTGTGTAAACAATAGTGCTATCTTGACTGTGAAAGCACAGGATTAAAACCCGTTATGGACTGTAAAATTCCTTTCATTTACATTGCTGAAACTCAACGATCAAGAATGATTATGTCGAAGACTCGAAGTATAGCTATCTGTCATCAGACGAACACCGAGACTTTACTGTGCGTTTCCGTGCGTGCGGTACATATAACTTGAATATTTAGGACGATATATGCACCAGATTGCACCAGACACTGGTATTTTACTTCATAGTAAATTATTTCATATTTTGTGTATTACAGTAATTTACAGCAGGCACATTATAAACCTTATAAAGACCTTTCATTCCCATTGCCCATTCAGTGCTTTATATTTGAAGAATAACCCGACAGCTTCTTTCGACTTGTATAATGCTGCTGTGAGTCATCAATATTTAAATCAACTTTAAATAATCTTTATCGTATACTGTATAAATGACATTTTAGCAGTTTCACCAAACCATACTAGAGGCAAACAACCTATCTATCAATGGAAACTTTAAAAGGCTTATTAAAACTCATTAATTAAGTAATTCTATGAGCTGGACTTCGTGCGCATATATACAGTTTATGAATTATGTATATATATCCCTGATAAAACATAGGGACACTTTATACCAGATATAATAAAAAATACTTTGCTAAACCTTTTCGGCTATCATTCCTTTGCATTCAAGGGGCGAGGGTGAATGGCTATATAATTCATATCGGAGATTCTGTGCAATCTGATTTAGTGATTTTGGCTTCAACAAACAGGTACTCGTGGAGTTTGACTAATGGTCGAGGGTCGAGGGTCGAGGGTAATAGGTCGAGGGCGAGGGTAGAATGTCGAGGGTCGAAAAAAATGTCGAGGGTCGAAAAAAAATGTCGAGGGTCAATTTTTTGACTCTATGATTTGTTCGCAAATTTTTAGTAACAGAATCAAATAGTTACCATTACACATACGTATCACACTTAATTAACTTGCTTTTGCCCAACGTCAATGTTTTAGCCCTATTATGGAATTTGCCATGGCGCAGAGTAAGTATGCTTCGCTATTAAACGCAAAGTTTAGTTTGAACAAGCAGATATGTTTTATACGCCGATGTATACTAACGAATCAATAAACCCTATTTTGATCATTATGAAGTTCATAACTGATCAAATTTCGATCGCTGCAGTGAGTGCAGTCAAAAGGCGCCGCTTCACATGCCATTTGATAAACATAACATAACCCTTTGCGACCTTTGTGCACTCATGATTTCAGCAATCATTACGATCCACAAAAGCGATATATTTATTATATAGTACTGTATAGCTATGTTTCCCGCATGATCTAGAAACCCACGACTAAACACTAATGTCGTATAAAATAATTTGTAAAGCCGTGATTTTCTAACTATCAATATTTTCTGCATCGTGGCAAACGTTGACAGACAGCCAATTGTCTTAATGTGCATGCCTAGCTACGGCAGCAAACATTTTTCGCACAGTCACAGATAATTTTACAACTCATCTGAAATATATATGCGACTGGGGCTTCCTGAGTTAACAGCGAGGCAATACAGTCACATTTTTATCACATCATCAAACTAAATCTTAGGATCAAAGAAAATTGCTATACTTACATCATAACGGTTACTCTCCAAGTACTCAAACACTATATTCTGCACAGTCCTCGAAGACAACCCCAACTGAAAGCCAGCAGCCGAATAAAAACATAGCCCATCATCGCCGGGAGGATTATACGAAATCTTTAGTCCAGCCTCTTCTATTCTGCTCTGAAGTACTTCCATTTCACACAAGTTTTATACCCTACAGCAATGCGGCAACTGAAGACGTTTTTAAGAGAAAGCTCGTCTGCACGTGTATGCGTTAACCAAAGTTTAATCGCAAGTAAGGTTCGAATGACAATTTCTCGCAAGTTTTGATCCAGAACTGAAAGCAAATCCTGGCATCCGGGGTGACACTTCGACGTGTCAGTGTTATTTTTCATGTTGCTGCGAATTTGTTGCGCCGATGAGGCATAACTAATCCAGGAAAATATCACTATTAATAAAAATTAATGTTGAAATATTTTCCGGTTTTATATTCCCCAGCCATGCATGGAGTAATACTTGTATTCAAATTCGCGCAGTAATCAAATTCGCGCAGACGATAGGAGCCATAGGCGCAAGAAATTACAACATGAGCGGAAAATAATCTGTGCGAAAAATGTTTGCTGCCGTAGGCATGCACATAAGACAATTGGCCGTCTGTCAACGTTTGCCACGATGCAGAAAATACTGATAGTTAGAAAATCACGGCTTTACAAATTATTTTATATGAGTGAGTATTGACATTAGTGTTTAGTCGTGGGTTTCTAGATCATGCTGGAAACATAGCTATACAGAAATATATATCGCTTTTGTGGATCGTAATGATTGCTGAAATCATGAGTGCACAAAGGTCGCAAAGGGTTATGTTATGTTTATCAAATAGCATGTGAAGCGGCGCCTTTTGACTGCAGCGATCGAAATTTGATCAGTTATTAACTTCATAATGATCAAAATAGGGATTATTCGTTAGTATACATCGGCGTATAAAACACATCTGTTTGTTCAAACTAAACTTTGCGTTTAATAGCGAAGCATACTTACTCTGCGCCATGGCAAATTCCATAATAGGGATAAAACATTGACGTTGGGCTAAAGCAAATTAATTAATTGTGATACGTATGTGCAATGGTAAGTATTTTATTCTGTTACTAAAAATTTGCGAACAAATTATAGAGTCAAATTAAAAAATTGACCCTCGACATTTTTTTCGACCCTCGACATTCTACCCTCGCCCTCGACCTATTACCCTCAACCCTCGACCCTCGACCATTAGTCAAGCTCATTCATTCAACGCAGGTGAGATGAATTCTTGTAAAATATAAGTGCGGAGGGATTTATATCTTTGTATAACGCTGTCGTATTGTGAATTGCAAATAAATTACACATTGTACGAAGATGGAGGCAGATGCTAAAGCCTACGATGAACTCAGTGAACCACAAATCAAAGTAGGAAGTCAATTTATCCGTGAATTAAACCTCTGTGCCGGAGACAAAGTACTTGATATGGGTTGCGGTACAGGCCATATCACTAAATATATCGCTGATATCGTTCGCCCCAACGGTCAGGTGGTCGGAATCGATCCCGATACTGAACGAATCAAAATTGCTGAAGAGAAATATAAAGCAGTCAGTAGTCTTCAATTCTATGTTGGTAGCAGTGTAATTGGATTCACACACGATACTGAGCCATATTATGATGTTCATATCAGTACAAATGTCTTCCACTGGTTGCCTAATAACGAGAAATGCATTTATATACGGAAAGCATATCAATGTTTGAAGCCTGGGGGGAAATTGGCTATCTGGTGTATCCCTAAGATGCCAAATGATGTCGAAACTGTTACAGGTTTTGTTGAACTCATTTGTTTTATCGTTTTATTGTGACCCCGCGCATGCGCAGCTAACCACTATGTGAGAGACTGAAGCGCGATCTTCCCTGGCTCTGTTTCTCTGTGGCTCTGCAGCCTTCGTGTCCGCGGTGTCCTGCTGCGCGGTTCTTTTTATCCTTGAAATACGAACCGTCTATCGACCACAGGCTAAGTTCACTAACGCTCATACTGTACAGAGATGTGTATAAATTCTTAGTAAAGTCTTTATTGTAATATGTTTTGTCAGGTCGATAGTCATTTCCAACGCATATAGAATCGAATATGTCGTTGTTTTTATAATCACAGCTTGTACAAGGGTCATTGGGGTTAATATTAGCGCACGGGGTCTGTTTTATATCGTGTAATGACATATCAGTTTGATCAAACATTTTATACGTATTAGAAAAATATAGTAATTAATGATATAGCGCGCGACGATTGGACATATTTACGTTAATCTATATCGAAGGAATGTTGACGAACATATAGGTATATAGAATCGAGTATGTCGTTGCTTACATAATGTTTGTAAGGCCACGTCATTGGAATGAGTCAGCTCGCAGTGCTCAGAAGAAGCATTCTCATTGGCTTAGAGGGTTTTAATGAGTTTTGCATGCATTTTGATCACAGTATAGGGATTTTGATCTTATATTTTGATATGCTATGAACCGATAGAGTTGTAGCAATGGTAGCAGTGATAGCAATAGTAGCAATGGTAGCAATGGTAGCAGTGGTAGCAGTGGTAGCAGTGGTAGCAGTAGTAGCAATGGTAGCAGTGGTAGCAATGGTAGCAGTGGTAGCAATGGTAGCAGTGGTAGCAATGGTAGCAGTAGTAGCAGTGGTAGCAATGGTAGCAGTGGTAGCAGTAGTAGCAGTAGTAGCAATGGTAGCAGTGGTAGCAGTGGTAGCAGTAGTAGCAGTGGTAGCAATGGTAGCAATGGTAGCAGTAGTAGCAGTGGTAGCAGTGGTAGCAGTAGTAGCAATGGTAGCAGTAGTAGCAATGGTAGCAGTGGTAGCAGTAGTAGCAGTGGTAGCAATGGTAGCAGTGGTAGCAGTGGTAGCAGTAGTAGCAATGGTAGCAGTGGTAGCAGTGGTAGCAGTAGTAGCAATGGTAGCAGTGGTAGCAGTGGTAGCAGTAGTAGCAATGGTAGCAGTGGTAGCAGTGGTAGCA